TTGACTGGAAGGAAAAAGTGTGGTAGGAAAAGGTGCACAAGCAACAGGGATGACCGCAGCCTTGGGAAGATTGTCAGGAAAAGCTGATTCAAGAACTTGGGAGAGCTTCACAAGGAGTGGACTGAAGCCGGAGTCAGCGCATCAAGAGCCACCACACACAGATGTCTTCAGGAAATTGGCTACAGCTGTCACATTCCTAGAACCAAGCCACTCCTGAAACAGAAACAACGTCAGAAGCATCTTACCTGGGCTAAGGAGAAAAACAACTGGACTGTTGCTCAGTGGTCCACAGTCCTCTTTTCAGATGAAAGGACATTTTGCATTTCATTTGGAAATCAAGGTCCCAGAGTCTGAAGGAAAAGTGGAGAGGCACAGAATCCAAGTTGCTTGAATTCCAGTGTGAAATTTCCGAAGTCAGTGATGATTTGGGGTGTCATGTCATCTGCTGGTGTGGGTCCATTGTGTTTTATCAAGTCCAAAGTCAATGCAGCCGTCTACCAGGAGATTTTAGAGTACTTCATGCTTCCTTCTGCTGGCAAGCTTTATGGAGATGCGGATTTCCTTTTCCAGCAGGACTTAGCACCTGCCCACAGTGCCAAAGCCACTTCTTCTAACTGGTTTGCTGACCATGATATTACTGTTCTTGATTGGTCAGCCAACTCGCCTGACCTGAATCCCATAGAGAATCTATGGGGTTTTGTCAAGAGGAAGATGAGTAACATCCAAACAAACAATACAGACGAGCTGAAGGCCGCTATATTTGTAAATCTTTTTTTGATTGATCTTTGAGAAAATATTCACATTTTTTGAGATACTGAATTTTAAATTTTCCTAAGCTGCAAGTCGTAACCATCAGAATTAAAACAAAAAACTCTTGAAATATTTCAGTTTGTGTGCAATGCATCTAGAATATAAGAACGTTTTTAGAAAGTGCTTTTTAGAATTAAATTACAAAAAAATAAAGAACTTTTCATGATATTCTAATTTTTTGAGAGACGCACCTGTATATAGCACTGCATAATGTTTTTATAGGTTTACCATTTATTAAGCTCTGTGTTTTATTGGCAGCATTGAGCTTCGAGAGCTAGAGTTAAAGCTCAAGTCTGCATACCTGAACAGAGAACGGGCAGCACAGATGGCAGAAAAGGAATCCATGCGATATGAGACAATGGTAACGGTGTGATCTGCAAATGTGTGTCTTACATTTGGGTCTCTTATTTTGTGGTTTTGCTTATTGTGAGTTTACATCTTATCAGCGACAAGAGGCTGCTGTTGCCCATAAGATGAAGGACGAGCATGAGCTTGCAGAGCTGGAGAAAGAGAAGCAGGAGCAGAAGAAGTATGAGGAGGTAGTGCGTTACCAGCAAGAACTTGAGCGGCAGCTTGAGGAGAAAGACTGCAAGAGACAGGAAGCCTATGAGGAGTTTCTTAAAGAAAAACTCATGGTGGACAAAATAGTACGGAAGATCTATGAGGAAGATCAGAGGTAAGTGTGTTCTTTGTTTTCCCGTTTTCCTGAAGTTTTCTACTTCATTTTCAGAAATTCTGGAGAAAGCAGACAATATCATCTGTTTTAGATGAGCTGGTAAAATGGATGTAGGATGGTTTGAAACTGACAAACTTCATTTACAGGGAGCTTCAGTTACGACTTGAGAAAGTGGTGGCCACTCAGAGATACATTGAAAATTTTAAAAAGCAGCAAGCAGAGTGGAGACATTTAGAGCGAGAAAAGGTGGAGGCGGAGAACAGGCGCATCATTGAGTTTGCCCACTACCAGCAGAGGAAGGAGGAGGACAGGATGGCCAAAGTTAGAGAGAGAGAACAGGCCAAAGAAACCCTGCACAAAATGGTACATGACAGCTCACCCTCTGCGCTGTTATGTAATCAAGATTCAAGTATTAATATGTTCTTCCTTTCCTTCTTGTTTAGCTCTCTGAGCAGATCGAGATGGAGAAAAAAGAGCGCGAGAAGATGGAGCGTGTCCGTGAAGAACTTCACTTGGAAGAGCAGGCCGAGGCTGCAAGACGACAGGAAATTGTGAGAACTCTCTTACAGTGTCTCTTACTACATCTCACTTTACTGGATACACTTTGTTCATTTTTACAAAGAAGACAAAGGTTAATCTTATGCAAGGTTGCCAGATCTCAGAAAACAAATTTCTAGTCCAAAACCGACTCAAAACCCGCCCAAAAGTAATGAAAACTAGCCCAGTTTTTTCCTGTGTCCAATCACAGTTGACAGATAAAGGGCCTTAAAATAAACATTTAGATTTTATTTATTCTGTGTTTTTTATTTTATTTGGATAATTTTAGCTAGACTAGTTTTTATGCGGTATGTGCACATTTATTATTTAATCTGAATACCGATACCTACTTTCACTTCCCCAGTTCTTTTAAAAATCTAATCTCATTCAAGACTATTATTAATAACCTACATACTCTTTTTGTTTCACTCTTCTACTCTCCACATTCACTCTTGGTTTTTCTACACACAAGCATAAATGCACAATTAATCTATAATGGCAAACCTAATTTACCTGCTTTCAAATTCCTGATGTGTGTGAAACTTGTCTAAATGTAACCTCTAGTAAGCCATTTGCAGGGCTTAAAGTTCTCCGGCACCATGCCAGATCTCCGGCGTGCAGTGTTTGGCTGCGGAAAAAAATAATCCTACATTTAAAAAGAATTGTTGATATCACTTTCGAGTCCATGAGTTCGCCTACCAATGGTATGAGAGGAGCACAGCTTTCACTCTCAACCAAACTAACATTACTAGCCAATCAGAATTTTTTGCTCTTATAAACACGAGACGTGCATCCAATTGCAGAGTCGCAGCCCTGATGAA